GAAAATGGGGAAAATTGGGGGGAAATGGGAAAAATTGGGATAAATGGGGAAAATACATGGGGGAAATGGGGGGAAATGGGGAAAATGGGGGAAATGGGGGAAAATGGGAAAAAATTGGGAGAATAAATGGGAATAATGGAAAAAAATGAGGGAAATAAATGGGGAAAATGGGGAAAATGAATGGGGAAATGAGGAAAGAATGGGAGGGAAATGGAAAAAATGTGGGGAAATGAGGAAAAATGGGGGAAAAATTGGGATAAATGGGAAGAAAATGGGGGAAAATGGGGAAAATAAGTGGGAATAATGGAGAAAATGAGAAAAAGAAATGGGGAAAATGGGGGGAAATGAGAAAAAATAGGGGAAGAATGGAGGGGAAATGGGGGAAATGGGAAAAAATTGGGAAAATAAATGGGAATAATGGAAATAAATGAGGGAAATAAATGGGGAAAAATGGGGGCAAATGGGAATAATGGAGAAAAATGGGGAACAATGGGGGGAAATGGGAAAAAAAAAGGGAAAAATTGGGATAAATGGGGAAAAATTGGGGGAAATGGGGAAAATAAATGGGGGAAATGGGGAGAAAATGGGTGGAAATGGGAAAAAATGGGGGGGAAAATGGGGAAAAAATGGGGGGAAATGGGGAAAATGGGAAAAATTGGGATACATGGGGAAATGGGGATGGAAAAATGGGAGAAATGGGGAAAATAAATGGGAACAGTGGAAATAAATGAGGGAAATAAATGGGGGAAAATGGGAAAAGTGGGAAAAATACATGGGGGAAATGGGGTAAAATTGGGAAAATAAATGGGGAAAATGGAAATAAATGAGGGAAATAAATGGGGGAAATAAATGGGGAAATGGGGAAAGAATGGGAGGGAAATGGAAAAAAATGGGGGGAAATGAGGAAAAATGGGGAAAAATAAATGGGGGGAAATGGGGGAACATGGCAGGAAAATGGAAAAAAATGGGGAAAATGGGAAAAATGGGGATAAATAAATGGGAGAAATGGAGAAAAAGGAGGAAAATACGAGGGAAAAATGGGAAAAGGGGGGATGGAGAGGGGAAAATGGGGGTGGACTGGGGGAAAAATGGGATAAACCCCTGGGATGAGGGAAAATGGAGGGAAAATGGGATTTTAAAAAGCCTGAAATGGGGACAAATGGGATAAAAATGGGATAAAAATGGGATTAAATGGTCTGAAAAAAAGGGAAAAATGGGATTTAAAAAAGCCTGGAATGAGGAAAAGTGGGGAAGTGGGGCTGGGAGGTGCTGGGGGTGCCCAAATTCCCGAATTGTTGGGGAATTGTTGGGAACTGTTGGAATGCAGCCCCGTCTGGTGGCCATGGCTCACGACAAGGAGCCCCAGGTGGCCCTGGAGGTGCTGAGGCTGCTCACGGCCATGGACAGGTGAGGGCTGGGATTGGGAATTTGGGAATTTGGGAGGGAAAAATGGGAATTTGGGAGGGAAAAATGGGAATTTGGGGAAAAAATGGGAATTTGGGAGGGAAAAATGGGAATTTGGG